CAACCAACCAACCTACTATAATGGCGATTATAGAAGGCAAATAATTTTTTATGTTCAAACTCTATCAAGCCTTTGACTGCTGACAGAAAACTGTTGATGGTAAATCCTCCGCTATCGTGGCCCATACGTTGACCCCCATGGCGTTCAAGGTGTTAAGTAGTGCTGAAAATCAGCGCCGCGACTCGAGCAATCGCGCTTGTGACACGGCGTTTTAGCTGAGCACTGGCCTTTTTGCACCGTGTACACTGTTGTTTTTTTTACTAACTATTTTTTTGTTGTTTTTCTGTAATGGTGTAAATAAACTGTTTTTCTTTCTAAATATTCCTTTTACAACCTACTAGAGGACCCTGCTTAGTTTCGCCTTATAATTTTAGCAAAATCGGTTCAACTGTTCTCGAGATTTGCTCTTAGCAACACATTCAGTGACTCATTGTGTACAGAAGTTCATATTATAGATCATGCCCATGTTTTGAAGACATGATTTTACTTTTATTAAACAGTAAAAGTTTTGCTAAAATATTGTATGCTCAAATTATAAGTTTTCGTTAGGTTAGGTTTGTTAGACCTTCGTTTCAATTGTGATTCAATTTCAGATTCTGTTGTGACTTTGTGACAGATATTTTTCCTACAGAGATGAGCCTGCTTGAGCTGTGGAAGACCAGCAGGTTGCTGGAGCTCCGGCTCAAAGCACTAGTAGAAACCGCTGTTTTTATAGTCAGTAACGTCTGACATTCCCGCCTCACGCAAGGCAGTTATAAGTTATTCCATGATTTTCCCCTTTAAAAATGAAACTTATTCCTTTAATCACTCCAAGATTTGTAATGTGCAATGAGGCAAAATTGATTGATTACTTTTAGACTCTTACTAACATTCACCGGAGTCCATCAATAAATTGCTTAATTATTATTTGTATTAACGTCTTTATTACAACTCTATTCCATTTTATATTGTAATGTGTAAGTGTTTTTTTTAAGGAGGGAAAATCATCGAATGACTGCTCCCGCCTGGGTGAGGCGGGAGGGAGTGTCAGACTCTTACTGACTAAAACCACCCTGTTCCTTCTTCTGCACGTCGAGCCGGAGCCCCGGGAACCCGTTAGGTTCTCTGCCACAGTGTGCAGGTGTGGAGTAAAAATTATTTTCAACGTCATCACTGACCTAACTATCAACAGCAATTATATTTATGCCACCTTACATTTTCTAAGACTTATAGAGTGCAGAAATATTATCCAAACGCCGTCCCACAGGTTATCGCAGCAGTTGACGGTTGAAACGTTACGAGCGTTCGTAAGTTTAGTGACTAATGGTTCCCAAGCACGAAAACGATTGTTCAGAAATAGGTTATGTACTGCTACAATTTATTTTTCCAATAAAATTTTACTTTGGTTTACAATTGTTGTGAATCACTGGATCGTTGTTTGTGTAATGTTAATTCAACTGCTTTGTTAGAGGTTCCAGTTTTTATCTTGGGGCCAGGGAAAATATTTTTGGTTATAGAAAATTTTCAATATTAACACAGAGCCTGGAATTGTATTTATTGCATCCATAATGTACACATACAGGTGGTTAGAAAATAAAAAAGTAACAATTATGGATTAGAATTGGTAGGAGAGATCAAGGGCGTTTTGTTTGATATGAATGTAATGTCAAAATTAATAAAAAAAGGTATTAGCAAAATTGAATTATTGTAATATAATATGGATGTTATCTATTCTGTCTTTTTTCACCTAGTTTGTAGTATCTTGTATATATTTAGTCTAACTGCCTCGTTATCTGTCGCAAGTCTGAGTGCCGGTCAAGGGGTTTTGGGTTCGATTCCCGGGTCGGGCAAAGTATTACTGGGTTTTTTATAAATTTTCAGTAGTAGCACGGAATCAGACTATTAGCTCACCCCCTATTACATGGGATTTATGACATAAATAGTGAAAAGTGGGTGTTACATTGTACAGTGGCATTATACCTCTGCCTACCTACTACTACTACCTACTACCGGGGATAAAAGGCGTGATGTTTTGTTATGTTATATTTAGTCTATCTTTCTAGTTGTATTCGGGGTTTGCGAATAATAGACCAGCCTACAAATTTATTACACGGGACTTATAAAAGAAATGGCCTAAATGGAACATTGTGTTTATGTGCACATATTTAATTTTTGTAGTATCAGTTCATTGTCTTGAACGGGTTGTCGAGAACAGATGACAATCACTTCATGTAATAGGCTTACATTCAATTTTAGTGAGGACTTAGTGACTTCAACCTAGTTGGTAAAAAGCCAGAAAGCAAGATATGGTGCTGGAAAAATGCCATGATACGGATTTCTCTGGTATTTAAGATCTTGGCATTTTATTTTGTTTTAAAGAGAAAAAGAATTGTTAAGGAAATGCCTCTGCCAAATTCATGCTTCAGTTTAGTACTGAAAGTTCCGTGGCAAATGTTCTAGCTGTAAAACGTTTATTTTTGTTTTCTTCAGTTTATAGTCTTACTTACATGGTTTTCTCATTGTGTTCATGACTCCATTTAGGTATCTTTTTCTCTGGATGGTTAAATTAGAGAATCTTGCGTGAACACGATTCAATTTTAAACATGAATATACTTATTTTAGGTTATTATTAGGCAGTTAAAAATAGTATATAGTAAAATTGGAAACCCCTACAAATAATGCAGAATAAATGTAGTTTATCGTCAGAGTTGAAATTTGCTGGTATGTATGTAACTTTGGATTAATTCTCGTATCTAACTAATGACGCCAATTTTGAATCTTATTTCCAATAAGAGCATGCACGCAAAATTTGAATTTACACGTTTTTCCATTAAAAATCGCAGAGTTACGTAAAGATAGATGTACAGATTTCCACTATTCCTGACGACATATTACTTTTAGTATAATACTTCGAATTTGGATTTATGTTTGATGTGCTTATGCCATATTCCCGGCTCCAACAATTCTTTGAAAAACCGAGTCACAGTCTGGAAAATTAGTGGTTAGTGATTCAGAATTCTACATTACTGTTCCGATAAACCGATGACGTATAAAATGTATGAATGCATTAATGTCGTTGTAATTCAACAAAAAATCAGTTGCTTGAAATCTCGCGTGTTCACGGTTGTACCATAAAGCTATGACATTGTGACGAATCTACTAGTAGGTATATGCATTATTTGACCTTTACGGTTTTTTAGTTTGACATATTGAAGACGTTGGCTGAGTGCCGTGCCGAGCACGACATTGCACCTCCGATTCTTCCGTTGGATAATTTGTTTTTGAGTATTTTAATTTTGTACTTTTACTTGCTATGCATAGAGTCTAGAGGTAGAGTTACGTTTTGACTGACGACTCGGCTTCTGTTTGTATATTCCAGCCTAACTTCAATCAGATAACTATCACGATCATCTACTCTAAAATTTGGGAACTTACAATTTTACCTTAGCACCTTCAATTCAATAATAAACTACGCACATATTTTAAAGAATTTTATTTGCACGAATAATTCTCTGGAAGGTAAATATTTCATTTGGTATTAAAGAAATACTGGTACTTAAAATACATCTTTCAATAGACTATACAAAAATAACCGTGTTCTCACATCCCTTCCTTCGTTATGACAGTAAAATTAAACTACAATACAATACTAATATACTATGAACTATTTTGGATGGAAATACTGATATCGTGCCAGAATCGTCTGTGATTTCTTTACAACACTTCGTCCCAATTTCAACAACTTTCGGATAAAAATCCGTCCAGAATTCAAAAGCTTTGTAATTAATTGTTGCTGGAGTGCTCATCGTGAAATTGGCTCTATCAATGATCAAGTACCCAGGCCTCTCCAGTTCATAAGTCTGCCAATCTATAATTACTCCTGAATTCGTAGGATTTGAGTACCAGGCGAAATTGGACCACATCCTCATTATGATTTCTGAAATGCTTTTGTCTCTGTAGTCCCATTTGCTTAGGTCTTCTGGTAAGGCTAGATAGGGCATGCCAAAGGTGTAAATAAGGTCGAAATTATGTGGAACACCAATCCATTCTGGAAGACCTTCATTTGCAATATCAGAAAAAGGTTTTAAGTCAAATCTGTAGAGATATACTGGAGCATGTGGACAAATGTGCCTCGCTAACTGATAAGTAGTAGCTCCATGGGTTTTGTCGGTATAAAAATCCACGAAAAGCTTTCTCAATACTGTTTCATTTGTCGTATGAGGTATCGGTTTGTAGAAAAATGCTACAGCGTCTTGTATGTGATGCTGATTAGTGAAACACGAGCTGTTGTCTACAGTGATATCTGCGAGGATAATTTCTTCTCTCATTGAATCAAACTCTCTTTGACTAATACCTGAATCTCCGCTTTCATCTTTTTCTAGCAAAAGTCCATCTTCCATGTTCGTGTAGCCTGCTAAAAGAGGGACTGGGGAGAAAATCTCATCTTTGAACAGTTTTGATGGTAGCTCTGGCAAAAACGGACTGGTTATATTACTAAAACCTCCATCCACTATGGGTTTCCATTCAGCTACTGGCCCAGCTATATCTAACAGTGCTTTATCTGGAACTCTTCTAAGACAATCTAGTAATTGGTAAGTTGGTTTTCTAAAGCAACTGAATGCAACTGCAACCTTATCGACAGTAACTATTTCTTTCCTTGCTATGTTTACAGATTCTGGTGATAAAGCATTTCCACTCATTGCTATAGCTTTATGGAAGAGTCCTGCTGAGTACGAGGATATTAAATGAAGGGTGACGCTGACTGCTCCAGCATCATGACCAATGATGCAAACGTTTTCGGGATCACCTCCAAAACTTTCAATATTGTTCTTGACCCAATGTAAAGATGCTACTTGGTCGTGTAGACCAAAGTTGCCTGAAGCTTCATTGTCGAGGGTTGAGAAGAATCCAAAGATGTTTAGCCGGTAGGCCACTGATACGAAAATTACCTGGAATTAGAAATTAAGATTTTTATTTCATGGTTTCAATATTCGGATTGCTACGGTCAATGGTAAACATACTACGCCATTTATTTGTTTGGAATTCAAATTCCTTCTGTAATTCATAGTTCATATTGTCTACAGTGCCCAGAATTTTAGTGTTAACAATTATGTTTACGTCCATTTAGGTCATGCCAACTTACAAATTAAACTAATTTTACGCCTTCGTGGTCAGTTAAAAAGTCATCTACAACGTTGATTGTCGCAACTAATTTAATAAGTAAGTTCTGAACTTCTTCAACTGGGTCAGTCTCATTTAAAGGTGTAATAAAAATAGTAAATTAGTTGAAAAACTTTCATTACCCTTTGTTTTATCACCAATTGGAAGGGGTTCACACTGTTAGGGCTGCCTCGCACGAAATCACCGCCGTGGAACCAAACGAAGACTGGGTAGCCCTCGACTTTGAAGTCTGCGGAGATGAAATAAAAGTCTGAGTAAATATGACAAATACAGAAATTCTAACTGCTATTATGAACTGTGCCACCCAGATAGACACATGTCATGAAATTACTTAAGTTAAGAATGGGTGGTATTTAACTGTAAATTCCCTTTTTTCAATCAAACTATTCGAAATTACCACCAAAAATACTGAATTGCACACTAAATTTGCTCTATCTGTCTGACTATCTTTTACCTAAAAGTAAATCTTACCCAACCTATTTTGAAAATTCCGTTGTACCTACCTAATATTGAACAATTTGCGTGCAAATCCGTATTTCCGTTTCACGGTGAGTAATATGTAATTAATTTGTAGTACAGTAATTTTTTTGATATGCAGCATCGAAGTATTTAAATTTGGTTTGCTTCAATTTATAAATAGAGGTGTAGTAAAAATTCCCCGTTTAGAATTATTTATACATTGGTTTATATTTGTTCCAGACTGAATGTCTCCCAGCCTCGTTCATATCTACAAACAAAACTATGAATATAAAACTCTTAATGTTAATGAAATTAACAGTTCCTGATACTTAAACAACCAATTTACCAAGAACCTTCAAAACCCAATTTCCTTCCAAACTTCAAGAGAACAATAAGGTTTAAAAACTAATAAACAACAAATGCTACTAAGAATGCTTACTTTGCTGTTATTGGGGTCACAAATAAGATTAAGGTTAGGTCAACTTTACAGGGGTTCTTATGGGCCGATTGGCACGGCAAACTTGCATTAATGGGCTACCTACTTAGAAGGCGTAATGACTTGCCTACCTAACAATTTGTGGGGGCTAAGAGTTGTTCGAAACGTGTGGTTAAAAGGCAATGATGAGTACGAGGAAGGAAACCAGGAAAGAGAGGTGTAGAATCGTTGTTTTTTAGCTTTGATTAAGGACTTTAGTAGTTGTTATGATAACCACGTCTCGTTTGTCTTTTTTGCAAGACATACTCCAATCTATGGCTTAATTTATACCACTGTGGAATGGAATGGAAGCGTTTTTGCAACAAAACTGTTTACAACATAAAGAACTTTACACACAACTTCAATATAAGCCAAAATAATGGATACGTCTTCCGCGGAACCCTCGCGAATTCTTGAGAATTCCTTCGTATATAGAATAAGTTTTAGTTAGTCTTATAGTTCTATATATTTATGCTGTACCTTTTTACAAGCTAGCTTGTAAAACTAGAGTGTAACTTTCTGGGTGTCCTAATAAAATAAATTATTTAAGACAAATGTTTGCACCAACATACAAGTACAAATGAGCATGTGCGACCATGAAAAGTGTGGGAGAGCCATGCTTCGGCACGAATTGGCCGATTGGCCGGCCCATTCGTGCCGACCGCGACGTGAAGCAACGTTTGCGTTGTGTTTCGTCGTGTGAGTGAGGTTTCCGGAGGCCCAATTATCCTCCCCTTCCCCAATATCCCCAATTCCTGAATCCCTAGAAGGCCGGTAACGCACTTGTAACGCCTCTAATGCTCCAGGTGTCCATGGGCGACGCCGATTGCTTACCATCAGGTGATCCGTCTGCTCGTTTACCAACTTACGCCATAAAAAAAATTTAAGACAAATGTTTGCACCAACATACCACTACAAATGACCATTGCCATAAAGACACCAAACATTGGTGACCCATAAAACGGTTGCATTGTAATGATTCATTGGTAATCACCTAGCTTATGACACCATGAGTAATAGGTCATTTGGGCCATAAACTCTAAGTTATTACTCACAATAAAAGGTTTTAATTACCTTCACGATAAAACTTTACACGGTTTCATTTCTATTCATTTGCAGGGCCGTATTTAGATGGTTGTTGCAAATGCGAGTAGCAATGAAATGGAACCTGGTGGTTATTCTATTGCAAAATTGTTGGTATGGAGTCTGGAAGTGATGATAAGTGCAAGTATTGATTTTAATTTGCAGTGCTCGTTTACCTAAATCTGAATTATAAAGTTTAAGGTTATAATTTACGACGAAATGATGTGTCTAACTGTCATCTAAACGACTTTTATTCAGTAATATCTTTAATTGTTTTATAAATAACAAAAAAAAACAATGACGTAACAACCCTAATACTATATTGCTAATGAGATATTTTGCTTAGCTATAAAATTTATTAGGTTTACATTGTTTTAGTAAATTAATTGGTGCCCATCGACATCCATACTCGTAACGACCGCTGTTAGTATTTTATGACAAGCGTAACCGACTGTTTTACATGCTCTGAGGTAACAATGTTAAGAATAGTCACTCAATGAATAAGTATAATATGCACTAAATAACTGCTGACTGCCTCGTTGGCCGAGTGGTCGCTAGCGCGACTGCCGGGCAAGGGGTCTCGGGTTCGATTACCGGGTCGGGCAAAGTATTACTGGGTTTAAAAAAAATCTCAGTAGTAGCACGCAGTCTGGAGTTGTGCCCAGTATATGGCAAAGGCTCACCCCTATTACATGGAACATAAATAGTGAAAAGTGGGTGTTACTTCTATGTGCACCTCTGCCTACCCCTTCGGGTATAAAAGGCATGATGTTATGTATGTATACACTAAATAACCTCATGCTAAATTAATTTTTTTATGATTTGCTGACGACACGAGGGTATTCCTCTTAAGACCTTCATCACGTTAGGTACAATTTTCGTTAGTCTGTCTGACAGATAAATTTCAAGTATTTTTAAAATTAAATGTGTGACATAAATGCCAGTTAAAAATCTACACGTAAGCCGTTATCGAAACACTGCATTTTATAACGGTAAAAAACTTATTGCTAAGTCAAATACGGCCCTGTTTTCTCGTAGAAAGGAGTCTATTTACAATTAATATAGAAAAATAAAATAAAAGATTTCTAGTTAATATAGTATAATAGCACATACTAAGAGTTTTTACCCTTTAGGTTTTTACCTAGAAAGGCTATTTGCGTACCTATTGCATGCACAATGCTCGACCGTTGCAAGATTTTCATGTTGTAAGTAATATTTTTTAATTTTTTATATGCGTGATATTTAAATAGCTTGTCGTTAGTATGCCTATTAAGGTTATTCCAGGTTTTAGAACAGCATCGAATAAGAAACTGCTGTAAATAAGGTTATTAATTTTAGTACCTGTAATTAAAATGCTTCGTTTTACTATTATGCTGAAGTGTTTGTAGGTCAGGTGTTAGTCTCAAAACAACTAAACCTTAAGGTGCTCCCTCACCGGGAGCATTTGTGTGTAATGAGAGCATCTGTGTACAGATCTGAGCATTACATCAGTGAAGGAGGAGAACCGAGCATTAAAATGCGTACCTTGTTATGATACAATGTGTAATATCTTGATACAACTTGTAACATCAATGGGCTCCACTTCCCGCAACCCCACGCCCGCCCGCTTCGTCTGACATCTTGCTATGAAATGCTCAAAGTCGAATCTATAAGTAACATTACACGCAAATGCTCGTTAGTCAGGGAGGTATTATTGTAATATAATGCTCAAAGTCGAATCTATAATGTTACATTACTAGTGAATGCTCCCGGTGAGGTGCACCTTTATGGAACTTTACACTGAATGTACGTATAAAACCCACCTTTCACCCAGCATGCTAACCATACCCGATATAACATTTACACGTATGTTTAAGAATATAAGAAATTTTATTAAGTTCGCCTTTTTGATCTAGCCTACTTCCATTTATCGGGTACAGTTTTAGACTTCTTGCAATTCCTAAGAAACATTCGATAAACTGAAAAAATATGATATAGTTGGATTAACCAGGAATCAAACTCAAAATCCCTTACTCAATAGTTGTCAAGAAAAGTCGATCGTCTATTTTACCCCTTGTCTAAGACGATAGAAAATAATATTTTTAAAAAATGTAAAATTTTGCAAAAAGAAAATTAATTGAGTCGAACGCTGCCAGGACTTTGTACATCTGATTAAAATACTCCGAAGCAATTAATCTCAATTGGAAATCGAAATACTAATGACCTAATTATTCTTGGAAATTAAACACGGAAATGAGTTTTCGAAGAGGGGTGTAATCTGGAATGAGGATATTGTAAGAGAATTGGTGATTGCGTAATGTAAAATCAATTTTCATTGTGTTTCGAAAATGATACGTGTAGTCACAGACTTTTGGTATTTTTTCTAAGAAGGCATATTTATAAAGAGACTAGCTTATGTATTATTCCATACCATAATCTATACTTGTTTCACATTTCGCCCCAATCCCTTCAGCCTTTTTCACGTGATTTAATAACAAACTGACACGTGACTGCCTCGTTGGCGGAGTGGTCGCGATTGCGAATGCCGCCGGGCAAGGGGTCTTGGATTCGATTCCCGAGTCGGGCAAAGTACGACTGGTTTTTTTTTTAATCTCAGTAGTAGCACGGGGTCTGGAATTGTGCCCGATAAATGGCAATAGGCTAACCCCCTATTAAATGGGACTCATAAATAGTGAAAAGTGGGTGTTATATTGTACAGTGGCATTAAGTATTGTAATGTGCACCGTTGCCTACCCCTTCGGGGCTAAAAGGCGTGATGTTATTATGTTATTAGTAACAAACATACAACCACAAAAACACACGGTTCGGATGACTCTGAAAAAAAGAAAACCTGGAACGCCTTGCTCGATAATCACAACAACCCGAATGGTATTTTCTATGCAATAAGCCGGTAAACGAGCAGACGGATCACCTGATGGTAAGCAATCGGCGTCGCCCATGGACACCTGGAACACCAGACGCGTAACAAATGCGTTACCAGCCTTTTAAGGATTATGAATTTCAGGATTATTGGGGATTCTCCCTCCCCAATCTCCCCAATCGGGGATTATCGGGGTTAATGGAGTAACCACACTCACACGACGAAACACAACGCAAACGTTGGTTCACGTCGGTTTTCTGTGAGTCTCGTGGTATCACTCCGGTCGAGCCGGCCCATTCGTGCCGAAGCATAGCCCTACGACACTTAACACAATGGTTACAATTACTATGAT